AAAAAAAAAAAAAAAAAAAAAAAAGTCCTCTTTGCACACTGTAAACGCCAGTTGACTCAACTCTAGTAACATGCAGTAGGTATCGTGATCATATCGTACGTAGATACGAGCTGTCGAGGATCCGTATCATCAAAATTTCCTTTTGTTTTGTTTTGCGAATCGAGATGAAGGAAAATAATAATGCGGTTCGTGTCTTGCCCGGGAAAGAAGCGGTCGTAGTTGATTACCAAGGTCCAACCTTGACCGGGGTTCCGAGGCCGTAAGTTCCAGAAAGCAGTTGCTCTCTGATAGATCCTAGCTCGTTACTACCAGAACCTCCGTAGGTTTGAGAGTCTGGCCCGTGCATCCATCCGAGACTAGAGCCCAACTCCTGAACGGCCGCCTGCAACTTGCCTCCGGAATTCTGATTGTGTTTCTGCAACTTCTGGTCCCAGCCTCCGTATTGTAACTGGATACCTCCACCACGTTTGGCCGCTTCTCTGATCACCAAGATCCAGGCCTTGCAGATTTCATCGTAGGCGGATTCTCGTTCGATGTTGTTCTGTGGCGTGGTCCATCGCGGCAGGGAATGCACAATATCCGTCGCCTCATCTAGGTAATTCAACGATGTCGACGGCTGGGATTCATTTGGCGGCAGGAAATGCGGTGTGAAATCGCTTAAAGCATCTAACAACTGCCCCAAGGGCTGTCGAACTCGGTTGTAGGCATAGTCGGAACCCGGGTTGCCACCCAACGGAAACGAGGACTGAAGGTGCGACTGGTAATTTCGAAGCACCTGAAGAGCTGATGTAACACTCGGTCGAGGAGCAGTGTGAGCGACCTCATCCATTAGATCTGGGTGGCGTTCGCACATGGATCGCAGGATCCCCCGTAACGCATCGGTATCAAGGGTTTCCATCAAACGGGGAAGGGAGAGCGGTCGGCCAAAGATGTTCGGTCGGGCACGCTTCGAGATGCGGCCAGAAGGGAGCGGTCGTGGAGCAAAGGCAGGGGAGTTGGTGGGAGAAGCTGACATACGTCCGTCATGGTCGTTGTCATCATCAGCTTTCCGCTTGCGGTTGCTGGAGTAATGGATCGGAGTGGACACTAGGAGATTCTGCAGTCAGTACCACCGATCTGGAATTTAAAGTGTAACTCCTGGATTTGGCCTTACTTGGACGAGATGGAGAGAGATGAGGAGGCTCGTAGAAATGAGGCGGCACAGGTGGTGTAGCCACCAGGCTGTTCATGATGGCCGGATACGCAGTGATTTCGATAGGCGATAGGGGAGTTGTTGGGGTTGGAGAGCGTCCGGGAAAAAGAGACACACCACCAGTCGGGCACGAGGTGGTCGAAGCAGGATATTTGAAGAGCAGATTTAGGAGTTATGCAAGGGAAAAAGCAAGAAAATAACAGAGAATCAACAACAGAAAGAAAGGAGCGAGAATTTGCCTGGTAAAGAGAGAGAATAATGGTGGGGAGAGAGAGAAAAGAAGAGAAAAGCGGTGGAGCGGCAGACGACGCACGCCTCTTGCGCAGGTCATGACACAGTAATAGAGTCACTTATACCGTTACAACTATGCGACTATATCAGAATGAAATAAAGAATTCTCTAGTTTCATGTGTTTCTTTCACATACAGCCAGATACACACGGTGGCAGAAGCTCAGAAATAACCGCAGAATCCCTTTTTCTATAACCCGACGCCGGAGAATGCAGAACACCAACACCAATCTAAACTAGACAACAATTGAGGCAAAAAAAAAAAAAAAAAAAAAAAAAAAAAAAAAAGGTATACGAATTATCTACAGATACAAAGACTGAGCTGCAACAATGTCCCGGCGCACCTTGGTCAGCGCCTCCTCGAATTTACCCTCCAGCTCTTCGCTGCCCATGACCTTGGCAGCCTGTGCCATCTGTCGCAAACACTCTTCCAACCGGCGGAAAACACGGATCAAACTACCTTCGTAGACGTCGGTCATTTTGCTGGATCGAATCGGTTAGCATCTGAGATACGACGGTAGGACTGTCTGGGGATGGCGGCGGGGACACCCAAAACTTACCAAATTTCAAAGAACGATTTGCCGTTGGCCCACTCGTAAACGACTTCCATAAGTTCCCAGTGGAAACTGTTCACATATTCGTCCTCGTTTACCGCCAGCTTAGATTCCTGGGAGACCTTGGCGACGGTGCGGGCCTGGTTTTGGATTTCCCTGAGGGGTTTGGCAAGTTCGTCCCGTGTCAGGGCGGGGGTCTCCTTCGACTTCTCCTCAAACACGAACACACTGATAATCGCTGCTATTTGTTCCGGCGTAAGGTTGTTGAAGAAACCGTTAAATAGAAGCTCACTGAGCATCAGCTCATCACCCGTACTGATTTCACACGCCACACGTGCCTTCAGCTGAACGACATCCGCTTCGTTGAGGAAGCCGAATCGACGGAGCACCCGCCTGCGACACTTCAGCTCTTCAAGCTGCATGATGGCCATGGTGTCCTTAATTTTATTCTTGGTGTCCTTAATCTGATCACCCAGCTCCACCTTCTTGGAGTATTGCTCATACAGCTCTGGCAACCGTGGCGAATTATGCAGGGGGTTCGAAAGGAGACGGGATTCGAGAACTTCAATTTTCTGTATTTGGCAGTTAGCATCCGACGCGAATTGGGTTAAGCAGCGCAAAGTAGCAGGGTGCACCTTACCCTTAGATTCTTCTTGAGGCTCTCATCCTTGATCTGCATGTCTTCGAGTGGGTCGATAAGAGCAACTCCGTCAGGGAACCGTCTTTGAACCTCGCCGATGACCTTCTTCACGCTGTTTCTCGAGTCCGCCGACTTCAAGTCCTTCGGTAGGTGAACCCGGATATGCGAAATGGCGCTAACACAGGAGAGCATGACCGGCACAACCTCCATTTTGCCTTTTTCACCATCCTTTGGAGGGTAGACGCCGGACGGCAGATCCTCGTAAGTCTTGGTGCCAACAGACGTCCCATCAGAAACGTTTAATAAGACGTCGACGACATATTTCTGATTATCGGGAATCTCTTCGGGTTTCTTGAATTGTTTGCGCTCCTTGTAATTCACGAGGACGCCCCAACCGAAATCGAGGCCCTTGTGCTTGACCTGGATGAAGCGGCCGGGCTGGAAGTATTGCAAGCAGTAGTTCGGATGGATCATAACGTATTTCACGTCTTCAGTAAGCTTGTCAATATGATCCCTCGTCTCGTAGTACTCCCGAATGGTTCCTTCATCAGAAATCTTCATGTTGGCATGTTGTTCGTTGTATTCAAGAAGCTCTGTACACAACCATTAGTACTGAAAGCGAGTGAGAAATTACAAGCCTTGGGGGGATGCACGTACGCTTCTCAAAATGCGAAACATTCGCAGTGTTTTGGAATTGGAAAAAACATCTCTCGAGCATGAATTCCGGTGAGATACCCTCGACACGCATCAAGTTGAGAACCATGTTGTAGCCCAAGTGGAAAGCTGAGTTAAGCCTGTCCTGTTCACCACGGACGATCTCCTTGGCAACTGCCGGGTCCATTTCCTCTCCGATCATCATGATAACGATACCACGGTCATCGAGACCTCTTCGTCCAGCACGACCTGACATCTGGACGAACTCTGAAGGCGTCACCCAACGTTGGCTGAATCCATCGAACTTCCGGACGCTAGTAAACACCACGGTTTTCGCAGGCATGTTCAGACCAATGGAGAATGTTTCAGTGGCAAACAGGACTTTGATGAGACCCTCTTGGAAAAGAATCTCAATGGTCTCTTTGAGAATCGGAAGGAGACCAGAGTGGTGAACGCCAATACCCCTCCGGAGCAGTGGCAGGATGTTTTGAATTTGCGGCAGGTTCCGATCATCTTCAGACAGCATCTCGATGGCGCTGTTGAAAACTTTGCTTACCATCTCCTTTTCTGAATCGTCGTTGAACGATAGCTTTCTCAACTGAATTGCACCATTCTCACATTCGCGCTTGCTGAAACTGAAGACAATAACCGGGTTGAGATTCTTGAACATAATCATCCTGATAATCTTCTGGATGTCGTTCTGCTCTTGGGTGCCGCCCTTATTCAGTTTCTTATCCTTGCCCTTGCCCTTTCTTTTAGCCATGGCATCCGCTGGATCGTCTCCTTTCTTATCTGCGATGGCGCTCATTGCCTTTTGGAAGTTCTCCTCGCGGAAGACTCCTTTTTCATCAACAATGAGGTGGATGCCTTCAGCCCCGTGAGGATGGAAATAATGTTGAAGCGGCGTTGGCCGGAAGTCTGTATATACGACGTGACATGGTTGATTGTGCATTTTTGTAACCCACTCGGCGAATTGCATGGCGTTCGGAATAGTCGCAGAGAGGAAGACATATCGGACCTGGTCCGGTAAGAGAATGATGGTTTCTTCCCAAACAACACCCCGAATCGCATCGCGCATATAGTGAATTTCATCAAAAATAACCCATCCGACTTCACGCATAATTTCAGAGCCACGGTACAACATTGATCGAAGAATCTCCGTTGTCATGACAAGGCATGTCGCAGTAGGGTTGATTGTAACATCACCTGTCATCAGACCAGCATCTCCAAATTCCGCTGCAAACTCCCGATACTTCTGGTTGCTAAGCGCCTTGATGGGACTAGTGTAGATGACTCTCTGGTTGTTCTTCAGACACTGCGCAATGGCATATTCTGCGACGACGGTCTTTCCTGCACTAGTGTGGGCGGACACGAGAACACTCTCCTCCCTCTGAATCGACGACACGGCGACTTGCTGGAAAGGATCGAGTGTAAAAGGCCACACTTTGGCGGGGTTCTCTGGCGGCTTGTGTTGCG